TTAATATAAAATAGAATTATATTTATTTAAATTAGAATAAGAATCGTTCATAAATGCTGAGCACGCGAGAGTTGAAAATGCACGAATTTATTCCACTTTGACTTTGATGTGGAAACATAAAAATAAAATAAAAGAATAATGAGCAGATTTAAATATAAAAAAAATTGCCAAATTATAATTACTTATACATGTTTCTACAAAAAAATGTTTATAATAATATATTCGTCCTATACTTAAGTACCCACAGAAATGTCGCATCTATACATATTAATTTCGTAATCTATATTCCATCACACGAGATGGCGTCTTAGGAATAATTTGTTTTATAATTAATATATGACACATTTTTATCGATGAAGTATTTTATTAACAGATGAAAAGTAATTCCTTGGTTTTTACTGACATTTCTTGCAATATCTAAGTACTTACACACAACAGCATATTTTTATCAAGAGATTTTTTCTTAAATCAACACAACACGTGACAACTCTACAAGCGCCTAGCGAGTGACTGATTAAAGTGCGGTGTATGCACCGCAGTTGAGTGGAACAGAGTAGCTGAACGCAGTGTCGCCTCTAGTACGTAGTACATAATAGCTCAATGGTCATAGCTAGGTGTTTTGTTCTGATTAATAGTTGGGCGAGTAATTTCACATATATATTGAGTAAAGTAAGTTGTCTGTGAAATAAGAGTGTCAATACGAGGATCATTGTAAATCATGTTTGACGAATTTCGCCGTTGCCGTTTATTAGGTGACAGAGATGTAATACCTTCTTCATCTGAAGAATCTGACAAACTCCTCGTATATAACGATTTGTGAACATTAAATTGAGAAGGTTTTCCTTTAGAGCAATTCTCAACGGGTTAGGCTTCACTTGCAGCGCAATTAGCACTTATTTTCACATTACAATACTATGTATTTTATTATTACTGTAAATACTATGGTACGTGGCGGTAATATGTTCACCCTAAGCTTTGCCGCCGTATAAAACCAAAACTAGGAGGAGGACAGAGACAAAAACAAAAAGTCGTATGCTATAACTAATATATTAAGAGAATAAAAACAAGCAAGCTTTCGCAATAATTAGGAACACCTCGAAAAATCAACTTAAAAAGAACTAACTACACTACACAATATTAAAATCGACTCAAATAATTACTACAATGTCAACTGTTAAAAATGGCTGGTAAAAAGCATCGCCTTTTTGACCCTTTATTTTGACCGATGAAAAGCTATCAAATCTCAAAGCCATCTATACTTACAAGTCTTTGGTTTTTGAGTTATAATAAAGTGACCATATTAACCGGATATATGGTCACCCTCGAGTACTATATTTTTAATCACTGTGTGTAAGTACAACTAATTTCAACATCTAGAATTAAGTGAACATCATCATCACCTTGAACGTCATCTTCGTCGACGTAGTCTTCTGTTTCACTAGCAGAATCGTCCTCAACAATATCTGAACGCAGCTCTTCATTTATTATAGCTGATACTTCGTTTGTATCAAGTGGTATTCTATTCTGTGACAGGGTGAAATTTACAAATAAAACAAATTATAAGACAACATTGACTCACTTCAATGCACAAGAGTTACTATTAGGGCTAACCATCCGTCAAAACGAGCTAGACGGCTAGGATCATTTAAACCAGTGTTGCTGTTCAGAAAAAAGAAATTCCCCAGACCTCGATGAATAAGTGCCTAGATTTTGAAAAAATATTTATAAAAAATCCGTTAGGAGTCGCTAAATATTTCAAAATATTCCACGGTAGCAAAATATAGTGTAAATAAAAGTAAACATGAATAAAAAGTATTTATTCATAGTAATCAAATCTTAATAGTTTTAAACAAGCAAAAATGTCGTCATCTATTGCGTCATTTTCGACTTCAGACAACTTGTGATCTCGCTGAAGTAGCAGAAGTTGATGGTTCCACTGTAGAAGTACTTGTTATTTTAAATTGTTTTTGTGATTTTTGTCAGGGCATCATTTGGCGCGATATAGCTTTAAAATGTTTCCTTATAAGAAGTATGGAGTTTAAAATGGTTGAAGCCAATCTGTTTCTCAGTTTGTTCTTCATAATATTCAATTGACTGAACACTCGTTCCACTTCTGCGTTGGAATGTGGCAACGACGGGACTGTGATGGCTAAATCTGCTATGTGTATGTAAGTATAGAAACCACCAGCGTCTTTGTATTTTAATACACGAGTACAATATTGTACTATATCTATAGTTATGTCCCATTTCACAAAATTTATACTGTGCGATTGTTGTTAAATGTTTTCAATTTTGTCCTCATCAAATCTAAAGCGATTGAATTATCTTTTATCTGTTTTAAAGTGTTATCTACAGACAATTGTATTATTTTTTGTAGCGCCATGTAATTGCTGGTCCAATATAATCTTAAATAATTCTATTTATCTACACCCTGTTGACGAATATTATATAAATAAAATAATAATGACCATGAATAAAAGTGACTCAGAAGGGTATGACGGCATTTGTACCAAAGTAATTCAGGCCAGCAACAAAGAAATAGGTAGTATTTTGGCATTTTTAATAAACTTATCAATAATCTATGGTATCTTCCCTGATAAACTTAAATTTTCTTTGATTAAGCCTTTGTTCAAAAAAGACAAAAAATCAATTTTGAACAATAACCGTCCTATTGCGCTCGTGCCAATTCTGTCAAAAGTATATGAAAACATTATGCATACTAAACTCACATCGTTCTTTGACAAGTATCATGTCCTGAATCTCACTCAGTATGGGTTCCAGAGGGAAAAATCTACTACACATGCTGTTTTCGATATGGTAAATGAGACTAACATGCCTAAATGCTGATAATTATACAACTGCTCTCTTCTTTGACATGTCGAAAGCTTTCGATTTTGTTTCACATAATTCATTACTGGAAAAATTGGAAAAATGTGGCATTAGAGGCACTGCTTTAAGTTGGATTAAAAGTTACTTGCAAAATAGACGTCAATCTGTAGAAATAACCAAACCAGACTGCAATCATGTGGTCCTAAATCACAAATCAGATTTTAAAGAAAACAAATATGGAGTTCCACAGGGTAGCGTTTTGGGACCACTGTTGTTCTTAGTATATATTAATAATCTTCCGGATGTAACTAAACACAAATGCATTTTATTTGCTGACGACATATCTGTAATAGTGAAAACAGATGTAAACAATCACTTAAAGATCACATTAATGACATTAACAGTACAGTAAAAACAATAATAGAATGGCTTAAAAATAACAATCTACTTGTAAATCTTGACAAAACTTATTTTATAAATTTCAATGACATATTATACCAGACAATGAACATTAATTTTGAAGGACAAACACTAAAAAGTACAAATATGACAAAATTCCTAGTTATTTGGATAGATCAAAAACAAAATTGGAAATGTCAAGTTGAACATGTATGTAAAAAAATAAATAGATTTTCGTACGCACTTTATAAACTAAGCAAAGTAGCCACAAACAATACAGCACTTACTGCGTACTTTGCGTATGTGGAATCCGTACTGCGATACGGGCTTATTATATGGGGCAATAGCACAGATACAAAAAAGGCATTCATTGCCCAAAAAAAATGTATTAGCGCAATATGTGGCACTGCACCTGATTAGCCTTGCAGGCCTATCATTGCGGCCTATCATAGCGTAGCGCATTTGTATCTCTGAAAATACTACCACTCCCATGCCTGTACATTTTTGAAATTGCAAAGTTTGTAAAACAAAACATATAGAGCCATGCTGCAGCTATATTAATTGTATATTTGTAGCACGAATGGGTCGGCTCGACGACTCACCATACGCATCACAGCAGCTTAATGCTACTGTGATTCGTATGGTGAGTGTAGAGAACCGGAGACCCTTTTTACTGGAAAAGAGGCATTCCATCTTAGTCCTCAAGGCTGACAACGCATCTGCATTATAATTCGCAAACGAGGATAGATGTAGATGTTTATGGGCCACAGCAACCACTTACCATAAGGTCGACTGTGTGCTCGCTTGTCACCTTTTCATATAAAAAAAGATTTATACGCAAAATACCAGAAATGGTAACAGACTTGCTACTGAAATTATACCCAAAAGTGCTCGGTTTAAAAGAAACTGCTACTGGATGTGTATGCTCATATTTAATAAAATACCCCCGTAATGACAAACAGTTAAAATAATATATTACAAAAATAACAAAAAAAAATTGAGATTTTCTTTAATTAATTTTTCTTCACCTTTTGCTAATATTACTTATTCTAAACGTTCTCCGCAAAGGCTGTGTTGTTGTTGCAAAGTAACCCTGTATATGTACATTAAACACATAATTTCCAGTTATAAGTATATACATTGAACTATCTGTGTGAGTTTGTCTCATAGAATACTATAGAAGACTAGAATACACAATAGAATGGCTGTCAACCATATTTTGTAGGAGGGTTGGCGTCGCCGGGAGCACACATACAAGCAATTACGTCGTATTATCAGTTAATCATTCCTACAAACCCGATTGGCTGTGTTGACAGACGGATTATAATACATATTTATTTGTAAATAGGGTACAATTTGGCGTTTTCTAAATAATTTGCATGAGAAATTTTGAAACGATTGTAACGTCAAAACACATCTCGTGTTGACATTTATACGTGTGATTTGACGTGTTAGTGGCATTTTAATGGATACACGGGCTCCACCAACTCTCCCGTTCTATTATGTATGTGTTATAGTATTCTATGGTTTGTCTTATCGTGTAGTGGCAGTGTAAGAATGTCAACTACCCGATATCACACCATGGGTATCGTAAAAGGCGAAGAATCAGGAGATGGGCAACATTGTCTTCCTAGTAACGACTAAAAATTAAAAAATGTGGTTGTGAACCCGCTTTCAAAGCGTGGCAACTGTGGCAAAGATCTCCTCTTTGATGCAATCTATAGGTGAGGCTTGTGTTCAACATTGGAGGGTAACGGTGGTAATGTCGGCAGGGCGGTGCGGCGAGTGCGGCGCGTCGTTCCCGCGCTACGAGCAGCTGCGGCGGCACCGCGCGTGCGCGCACGGCTCGTCGTCGCCCGCGCTACCGCACGCCTGCGCGCAGTGCGGCAAGCGCTTCGGCCACGCGCACTCGCTCACGCGCCACATGCACAACCACGCCAAGCAGCTCTACCGCTGCGTCGTCTGCAAGGTACACCCCGCGACCCCCGCACCCCGCCCCGTGCACCACACTGTCTCACCATGTGTGCCCATGCACAACATTATCACTACATGCGGCCGTGCATCTGTGCATCCATGCAGCACAGTATCTCATTTTTTTAATACGATAGGGTGACAAGCGAGCACACAGTCCACCTGATGGTAAGTGGTTGCTGTGACCCATAGACATCTACATCTATCCTCGATTACCAATCAAAATGCAGATGCGTTGTCACCCGTGAGGACTAAGATGGAATGCTTCGTTTCTACACTTCTCTACACTCACCATACGAAACACAGCAGTATTTAGCTGCTATTTCACGCTGGTAATCTGTGAGAGCGTGGTCGTTCCCCGGTCGAGCCGACCCATTCGTGCTACAACTATACTACTAATATAACTGCAGCATGGCTCTACCATGTTTAATTTTTTTTTATCTATTAACTGGATTTGTACACCACATCCCACTACTATCACCTGTGCTCCACATTATACCACTATATACCCCCGTACTCCACACTATCTCACTACGTGATTCCGCACACCACATTCCACTACGAACACCCGTGCACCACGTTATCTCACTAGGTCAGGGGTCGGCAACCTTTTAAGTCTGAAGAGTCAAAAATTAAAATTTTTACAAATTACAAATTTTTCCTTGCCAACCATAAATAGTATTTGAATAAATAAAGTTTTTTTGATAAAAAAACTTATCTGTTTATTCATACGAAAAATATATATCTATTCATCATATAAAAGTAGTGTTTTTTCACAACAAATTAGAATCTAATTTCTATTATTATTATCTATTTATTAGATTACGTACGCACATGTTTTTTAAATCGATCAATTACATTTCTAGAAATCCAGTATCAACTTTAAATGGCCCAGTGTGGATTTCGTGTGTGTGTGGGTGCGGTGAAAAGCGACTACAAGTGGCAGAGAGATGGAAATGGTGCCTAATACTCGTGAATCTATTTAGAACGATTCTTGAATATTTTTTTTTTATAAAATAATTATTATTTGCGTATGGAACTAAAGAGCCGCAGCTTCACATGCAAAGAGCCGCATGTGGCTCACGAGTCGCAGGTTGCCGACCCCTGCACTACGTGATTCCGTACACCACATCCCACTACGAACACCCGTGCACCACATTATCTTGCTACGTGCACGGTTCACTCTTAAGACGTTGAGTCCGGCCTAACTTTCATAAAGGTTAATACTGACTGTTAATAAATAAATGATAATACGAGGGCGGCACTACATTACTATTTAAAAATGTATTTATTGCTTTTCGAAGTATTCTCCGCGAAATTTGACACATTTTTCCATACGATGGAACCAATCATTGAAGCAACCATTCTATTCGGAAGTTGGGGTCACCAACATGGCCGTTTTGTGAATGAAATGATGAAAATCTCTATCCACGCAAGTTATTCTTTATTTTAGGGAAAGTATAGAAATCTATATATATATATATATATATATATATATATATATATATATATATATATATATATATATATATTACTCGCATTGTCGTGATGGAGGATGATGCGGCGGTTGCAGTTCTCTTTACGGAGTTCAGAAACGGCCTTTGGCAAACAAATGCTAGCATACCATTCTGCATTAACCGTTCTTTGTCCCTCAAGAGGAATAGTCGTAACATGGCCGGTTTTGGAGACAAACGTGGCCAACACTTTTTTTGCAACACTCCGTGAACGAACAATTTTTGTTGGCTTTAACTCATTTTCGAACACCCAAACTTGTGACTGGTCCTTTGTTTCGGGTTCGTGCGCTTATATTCAGGATTCGTCACCTGATCCGATGTTGTATACAGCATTTGGGGATCCTGCTTGGAATCTTTCGAGAGTTCTGACGCACCAAGTAACGCGAGCCGCTTTTTGCTCTTCACAGAGCGAATGCGGTATTCATCGGGAAAACAACTTTTTTACACCTAATTTTCATGCAAGATTATTTGTATTTGACTCATGTAAATGTCGAAAGTTGCCTGAATTTCGCGGTATGCCACATGTCGATCTTCCTCAATCAGTTTACGCACAGCATCAACTTTTTCTTGAGTGACTGCAGTTTTTGGACGACCTTGACGGGGATCATCACTGAGCTTGACACGTCCACGTTGAAATTTAGCAAACCAGCGATAAATTGTGAATTTGGATGGGGCTTCATCACCAAATGCAGAAATCATACGGTCAACACACTATTTTTGTGTTAAACCACCTCGAAAGTCATAATGAATCATCGCTCTTGAATTTTCTCGAGTCAATTCCATTTTCTCAACGACTAAACAAGTTTGACATAATTTTGTGACAAGACCGAGAATCTTTTTTTTAAATAAATATATGGTATTCGATTTTTAAAACCAAGGGGTTTTCAATTAAAAAGATTTTAATATGACAGGAACAGTGGAAATATTCCATCCCCGATATTTTAGTGTAGCCTAGTAAATGGGAAGAATAGTCACTACCTCATATCGTCCCTTGGGTATCGTAACAGACGATTGATGGGAACTGAAACAGGATAAAGGAAATAGAGTTGTTTATAGAATAAGAGTGACACACAATCTACAATCTATTCTCGATTAAGAATCAAAATGCTAATGCGTTAACATCCCTGAAGATTATTACGGTGGTATGCCTCATTTCCAGTATAAAAGGTCTTCGGTTTTATCATACAAAACACGACATCACTAAGCTGCTCTTCTGCTCTAGTATTTTATAAGAGCGTGGTCCGTCCCTGGTAGAACCGATCCATTCGTGCTGCAACCATGATAAAGCTGCAGCATGACCTCGTGTAACGTGAGCACGCGCCTTCCCTATAGCAACTCGGAAATAAAAAACTACTGTAGCCTATCTATATTGATAAACATATCACAGTATCTGTGAACCCACGTGGCATCTCTGACAAGTATCACCCAATATGGTGGTATCTAAGGGGCAGGCCCATGTTCAGCAGTGGACTTAATTAATATATATTAAAATGTATTTAATATCTATTAAGCAGTTATTTAAATGAGATTAAATGATAGGAAGATAAATTGTGTGATTTTTTTATAGAATAAGGTTGACAAACGAGCACACAGTCCACCCTTCCACCGTCCACATGGTAAGTGGATGCTGTGACCCATAGACATCTACATTTATCTTCAATTAAGTATCAAAATGCAGATGCGTTGCCAGCCCTGAGGACTGAGATAGAGTGCCTCGTTTCCAGTAAAAAGGGTTCTCCGGTTCTCTACTCTCACTATACGAAACACAGAAGCATTAAGCTACTATTTTACGCAGATATTCTGTGAAATCGTAATCCAATCCAGATCGAGCCGACCCATTCGTGCTACAACCACAATATGGCTGCAGCGTGGCTCTACCACGTAAAAAGATAAAAGTGTGGTTTGCAAGAGGATGTTGTTATCAGGATTCAGAAAGGAACTCTTCGGTGGTTTATAAATAGAGACAAGCAAATCTATGCTAAAGAAGTAAGTGGGTAAAGTCGGTATCGACGCCCTAGACAGAAGTTTCTGGACTATATTGGCGATGTATATTATATTAATAAGATGGGCCAAATTTAGAGTACCCTTCACCGACGAGCATGCATGTGTAGATATGTGGATGTGAAAAAGCGAGAGGCGTGGCAAGTTCGTGCCAAATGGAAGTCCGTAGTCTCTATCTACCCATCTAGGTGACAGGCATGAGAGCTTTTATACCGTTACCGTTACATAAACTTGTCCCATAGATTGCCTCACATATGCCATGACTGACACGCTTAGCAAGCGGTTTGGCTACTGCAGTTTTTTATTATTTGAGTCGTTATCAGAAAGACGCTGTTGTTTTTCTCCTAACTTTTTTCCTCTTGTTGGGGTAGGGATAGGAGTTTATTTTTATATTATATACGATGTCACTTAAATCATCCATAAAGATTCTTTAAGCCTCCTATAGCTGTTAGTATATCTATCTCGTTTTAACGTAATATTATTGAAGTCACCGCAATATATTATTTCTATATACAATATGTAACGTAATTGACGCACACCCTCAGACACCCCAATTAGTATATTATGTTATAATCATAATACATACACTGAATTTTTAGTTAAACTTTTTTATGCACTGATTATTTATCAAATTATACTATCAAATTATACTAATTCCGGAAGAATGTTGTGGTCATAGTACAAATCCACGAACTCAAAGACTTTAACGTGCTTGAAATAAAGTTCATTTTTCTTTATTTTTATTGAATGACAAAATTAGTAATAATACAAATAAAACTGCACTCTTAAAAGTTTTATTGCCTTAGGTTACGGTCCACTTCAGTTTGTTTTGACTGTACAGGTTTAGTGTGGCTGTAATTTACGTAGTTATAATTATTGTTGGGATAAAAAATTACCTATATTAAAAATGATAGGAATCGATTCAGTAAACGATTCTGAACAAACTACTTTCTCAAAGTGCGTTAATTATGTTACATGTTGTATATATATATAATCATTTATTATATCTTCTTAAAAGTTCCTTAAATTAACGTCCACCATAGACAACTCACAAATATAATGTTGGAAGCTAGCTAAAGAAAAAAAAGTTGGTGACAAGCGATTTTAATCCTTATATCGTTATAATTACAGGCGTCATTTGCGAAAGCGGAGCAACTAGCGCAACACCTGAACAGCCACCTCGCGAACTACAAGCGCCTCAAGCCGTAAGAGACGAGCACGTAACGGACACGCGACGAACGCGTCATAGCGCACGGGACAACGGGGAGAGTGCAACGATGAATATCTTTACGGACACACACACAATATTATTATTATATTATATTAATATAGAGTTTTATTTAGTTTGCTCTTTTATTTGCCCTTTTCTCCGTGGAAATCGTCAAAAGCGCGTTCTTATTTATTTTGAAAGTTTTCCATTAAAACTTGATTATAATTAGTGTTTTTGCCCCAATAATCTGTTTTTATGCCGCTGTGTTCCGATATGAAGGATATAGGGAGGCAGTCAAGAGGCAATATAATTACAGGATGTGCTCAAACCAACCTTAAGATAACGATGGAGCGCTGCCGAGTATATCAACCTGAACCAGAAAAGTGTGACCATCTTAGTAAAATTTCCCCACAATTTGGCAAATTTTTTAAGCATTCTACTTTGAACATAAACTGTGTCCAAGAAGATAATGGAAATAACAGATATATTTTACTAGGACCGATGCAGATGTAAAGGTAAAATCTTTTGCTATCACCATAAACGGAGCGGATTAAAAGTCTAAAGTCGTAGCTATCTTTATTTCTAGAAAAGATTCAATCAAGTGGTGTGACATTGCGCAGATGTAAATTAGCGAATTGATTAGATAGTAGAAAAATTATGTAAATTGGTCTACGGGTTATGAAGGATTTCAAAGAATCGTTTTCTTGCGCCGTGGGAGCTCCGCTTTAACTAAGTGCATGGACTCATAGACTGCGGAAATTTACCCTACATCTGTAGCTGTAATTTTTACGTCCACAATTATTTTTAATAAACATAAAATAGTTATAATTTGAATCGACTGGAAGATAATGCAATATTAGATTGCAATAAAATATATTTATCGGAAAATGTAGGACGCTCCTCTCACAACTCTCCAAATACGAGGGACATCTGGTAAATCTAAAAATTGGGGGAGGCATATATTCCGCATTGGACGTGTGTATATAATATAGTATTATATTCTCAGTCAGATATGATAATTTCACATTGTTCAAAAATAAGTTGCATAATTTTTTTTTGATTGGCAGTAAATATGCATTTTATTTACCCTTTAAGGCGCCTACTTTTAAGATTTTAAATTAATTTATCAATATTTTACATTTGTCAAGTCGAGCAAAAAAGCGGCACGGCCGTACCATCTTTTCTCGAAGCAATTCAGGTCATTTTCGACCCCCTATAACTTCGTGGTCAATAAAACTAGAAGCCTGAATTTTCAGTAACCGAGTAAGCATTGTATAGATATGGTATATTTCAATTAATTTGAACCAGTAGTTTAAGAATTGAAACCGGTTGAACTTTCTTAATTTTGTCACTCACTGACTGACCGATCATCAAAACTCTAAGGCACTTCTAGCAGACATAGAAGACATAGAAGAAAAACTAAAATATTTGTTAATTTCTGTCCAGTTTTCTAGATACACTAACAGCATAAATAACTTTGTAATCCCTTATAAATATATAGAATTACAAAGTTACGTTTGCAGTGCATGAACCACCACCACTTGGCAAAGTGCATAACTTAGCGCACTTATTTGAACATTGATTCAAAGACCCGTGCCATACATGGTTTCAAACAAGTGTTCAAATGTTTTAAGCTGTATCTATCTGGTGCCAGCTATAAACATGTTACCGCGATCCCAAACCCGCCTGCTAAATGTGTCAACTATACTAAAGCTTCTCTTAGAATGTAAGGGTATGCTAGAAAAAAAGAAATACTAGACTATAGATAACAGTTTGAAGTGAATTTAGATACGTAAAAGTAGTGCCATTTTTGCTTAATAAGTGTATGCGCACTAGTAAACGATATAAAAATAGCTCCATTGGCACCTTCAGATACTAACACTATCATCGTCCACTGTTAAGTTAAACTATCGTAAAAACATACCTAAATCTTCTGTGAGACACATATGTGTAAATTTTTTAAAACAAAGTATGCGTTGGATTAGGTTGTATAGACAAAGATTCCTTTGCCTTTAAATATAAAAGCATCATATATTTTAGTTGTTCGCGGTAATTCCAAGTATATTTCTAGTAGTGATGAGACTCGAGTGATATTTTTTTAGTCGAGTCACTAGCCAGTAATAACCTAATTACTCGAGTGCCACTTGAATGAAGATAAAACTCGATTGATTTTTCACTCGAATTACTCGCCTGTCAAAAACTGATAAAGCGTTTGTTTTCTACGAATTGTAAGTGTTGAGAAATCATTTTCATTAAAGCTAAAGATTTTTTGTTTCTGCTTAGAAAGCGATACATCAGGCCTTGCAATCTGTAGTTGCTGAAAATTCCGTCCCTTTGATGTAGAATCGTAATCGGAAGACGTCGATGCAGTGCAGAACACTCACCTTCGCTAGTTGAAGAACACGCATGAAGTGAACTTGACTCACCCCCTAATATCCTTATACTGTATCTGATGTTTATTCTTCATATTATGAAAAATTCTAGATGGTAGTATTCTAAAAGTCTTTGTAACTTTTCTTGCGCAACCTACAAATAACTGTTTTTCCCCTCACAATTTTTGTCGTAAAATGACCACAATATAGCTTCCTTGGAACTCTCACTCATTTCGAACATCATCAGCAAAACGTTTTAAATAAACATATTAAATACAAAAACTCACTCAAACAAATTTGTACTTAATTTCAAATGGAAGATACATCGGCTAAACCTGCCTTAACTTAAACTTCTCAGCCATGTTGTCTTTCGAGTTGACTCGAGTCACTCGTAATCCAAGTGGCCATAAATATTACTCGAGTGCGAGTAAAATAAAAGCTACTCGAGTGGTTCGAGTGAAACACGGCTCTAGTCCCATCACTAATTTCTGGCAAACTTGCGTGTTAACAAAAAAAAAAGTTGCGTATTTCAAGGCGCCTAAAATTTTAAACACAAACTGTACGAAACCCTTCGTGCGTAAATACTCCTCGCACTTGCTCCTGTTTTTATTTTGATTAAAAAAAGTTAATCCCGCTAGAATTTTCTACTGTATCGTGGAGGCGGTTCACATACTTAAACTTTTACCCGAACAAATTTTGTAGCCCTACAAACACTTGTGTGAGTACAAATCACGGCCGACCCACCGTAGCCTAAGTACCGCGCTCTCAAGCCGTTAAATATAGGTTTATAGATCGTTTTGATTTTTGGATGTTAAAATAAAATATTGGGGTAAATAAATAAAACGCAACATTTTATTTTAAATTTTTTATTTCTCATATCATTCTTACATACTATATGTCATATGTATGTTTTATAACTATATTATATGCTATAGGTAGGTACAGGGTATATAATTATTTGCCTATGTATATCTTCGTAACTCTCATTGGTAACTTTATTCATTTAAAATATATAATATAATATGTTAAACAAACTTTTTAAATATCTAACTTTGGAGGCGAAAATATTAAACAAAAATGTTTTCTAAAATACATTTTTTTAATTAACAAAATTTACCCAAACAAATAAAAGGTTTTTATCAATTATAAAACAATAGTGATATCTGATAGCGACTAGGTTGGTATGATATTTTTTTCGGTTTGAAAGCAAAAATATTTTTGATATTTTCAGTGCAACAGCCGCTTTAATGAATATGAAATAAAATATATTTTTTTAAATATTAGTAATCCTATTAATTAACATTACTAATATTCCCTTTAACCACTCCTGGTAAGCTGAAAATGCTTGTGTTAGGAGTGGTTCACGACAGTAGTCGAATGGTGGATTCGAACCCGCGACCTTTTAAGTTCGCGGTCCGTGCCCTGCCACTAGGCTACTGTCGCTTAATATTGGCGGTTTGTAACATGTTTACGTTACTATACTGTTTCTGATCGTTGATACTTTTACCTCCAAAACTAAATTTTGAACGACACAGTTTAACAAAAACATTATTCACAAAGAAACAATAACAAAGTAGATAACGTAACAGACAAGCGAAGATCTTACACTTTTAATATTCTTAACTCACTATTTGATTTAATTCTATATTTTCCACTAAATTTATGCGAACATTCAAACGAAAATAAATAAAATATCTAAACGGGGTAAAAACGTAAATCAACTTTGTGGCCGGCCGCCACGTTGTTGTGCCAGTCGGAATTAAAAAAAAAACTAACAAAAAATACACGTCATCCACGGCCAGTCTAAAAGTATGAAATAGTTTTAACACCTTAAATATATCACATCACCATGATATACATACACCAAGTAGCGTAGGGATAGTCATTATTTTTAATAGAAATACAAAACGGGGAAATTACGATAAAATCACTAACACTTCGTGGTCAATTTGTAAGTTCGTAACATCACATTGTTCGTTAAAAATAAAAGCTCAGATTTTTGTCTACATACAATTATCAGTGTGCCTTGTATGAGAGAGTGTAAGGAAATATGGCGGGAAATTAAATGACGGCTTACCTATAACTACGTGTTGACAACATTTATGGACGGTAGAAAAAAGGAAGGGGGCCCGAAAATGTTTAAACAAAATTTTTATGTGATTTATATATCTGACGATGAGGAGATAAATTCATTACTTATGTGTTACATTCAGTTACAAAGTTACATTCAACTCAACTGTCATTTAAATGACCTTTTAATTTGGACAACACACGTTGTGTACGATTCATCACGCATCAGAATGGATTGACAGAAATGTAAAAAAATAAATTAGATAATGATTTGGAATTCAGAGGAATATGAAATTTAAAATAAACTTGGGGTCCTTCTATAATATGCTTGCATTTAGTTCTCCATTTTTTCTGACGCATTATTTCAGCTGTGAATCGTACATGATAAAATAATATATAACTTTTATGTCAACATCAAACTAGCAGTACATGAAAATAAAAATTCTACAACACCTCTATTGCGTAATTATTGCTGAGTTTCTGAGATTTTCGAAATAAAAATTAAGGCTAACAACGTATTAATCCAGACTTATAAAAATCAAAATGTACATCGAATA